TGATCAAATTAGAACATTAATTAATGTGTAATAGGGCAGATGCCCATATCGTCATTCTAGTTTTCAGTGTTTCTGCTGGTCGCTGCTGAGGGGTAGTTACGTTACTTTAGTCAGCCATAGAGCGTGTTGTGCTGCAGGTTACACTTTAAATTGTAGGGCTGGGTGATATGGCCAAAAATGCTATCACGATAAAAAATTTCATACCATTCGATATTGATAATTATCACAATAAATATCAAATAATTATTTCTTTAAAGTTGAAAGTTTGATTTTTGCTCCTGACTGAAAATTGAAGAAACCAGATGGTTAGTTGTGGTTTCTAAACTTTTTTGTCGTGACATGACACAAACTTTCCAAACAGTGGATCACTTAACAAATCTTCCAAAACAATTATGATGATTACAAATATGTAAAAGTAAACTCTATTCTCAGTCCCTTTTCTTCAACAAAATTAATATCTTAATACAAAAATGAGGTGCCAGATTGTTTGTGATTCAAATGAAAAGAAACAAAATTATATTAATACACTCATGTACAGTTCCTCCTCCAGGTTCTGGATAGTGTACATTGAGCCGGTGCCAGTGTGCCAATATGTGCCGCTTCTAGCCGCCTCCTCTGTAGAGCAACACACTCCCCTTGTTCTGTTTTACAATATTCAATATTCAGATATCTTCAACCAAGTCTAGTTGCCCTTGATATTAACCTTTCTTGGATAACTATGAACTGGATGACAGCGTACCTTCACACACATCTTCCAAGAATATGGCTTTTCAAGTAGAAATACCACAGTGTAAATCATAGCGCATTCAAAATGTTATTTAAGTAAAACTACTGCAAAATATATTTAAAATAAGAAATGTTAACTTCAACATTTTCCATAATGGCCTGTCAGTGCCACACCATTTTATAACATTTGATTTTAATCACTGATGTCATAACATTTGTATGTAGCAGCTAGTCAACATTCAGCTCCGTTTAACCCATTTAACATCCTGTTGGATAGTTTAACAATGCATGTTATCATAAAGCTCATAATAAGTTAGTTTTTTTTTCTTAACTTGCAAAGTAAGGATTGTAACTAGTGAGGGAGGCTTCTGCAGACTACGCTGTAAAACGCAGAATATCGTGGGATCTGCCAAAATGTGGAGGCAATTTATAAAAATCTGGGTTTCCACAGCACTTAAGCCAAATGAACAGAAAAACCCTATGCTGCTGCCATTCAGCGCCTCCTTCTTACTCAATCGTTGGCTCACACAGTCATGTTGAAGTGCGTCGGCACACTAGAAAAAGCTCATCACTTCAACAAACTCTCAAAACTGCAACCACATCAGTGGACGCAAAATGCAAGCTTGATGAATACTTTGTGTCTGTGTGGGCGGAGTCAGATATTAAGTTGGTAAAAAAAAATGAGAAAGCTACGACCGGTCAAGCTTTGTAAACTAGGAAGAATTTAAGAATGGCTTCGGGGCCTGATATAGCAGGATTTTAATAATGGCGTGTACATTTCAATATTTCTATATGCATATCTGCATGATATATCAAATTCAGTGATATTAATAAAATGTTTAATATTTTCTTTTTGAATTGTTGGTATTTTATTAATCTTCAACATAATTAAACACTTTTTCTGATGACAAAATGTGCTTGAACAGTAAAAGACAGTATTCAGAAAAATGAAAACATAAATCACAGAATTTTGAAATTAAACAGAATCTCAAAAAACAAAAACAACAAAAAAAACTGATTTCAGAGGGCTGTACATGCACATCTCCACAGGAGTTTCAGCTGGATGATTTCTCCTCTGTATATTGATCCACGGGTGTTATTTTTAAGTATGCAATTTCAGTAAAACTTTTCCCACAAATGCTGCAATGAAGCAGCTCCTTACTTCTGCGGGTTTATGTGTGTTTAAACCACAAACCTCTGGAACTGAATTATCTACAACATATATGCTACATGCCTGTGTGCGATCTTCTGTACTGTGTCAAATTGGACAAATTAGAATATATTTTCCAGAAGATCGTGCAAAGCTACGTTTTCTCACCAATGTGGGCTCTTCTCATGTGGACTTTCAAGTGACAACTCTGGCTAAAAGATTTCCCACATGTTTCACAAGTATACGGCTTCTCACCTGTGTGGGTTCTCATATGTGTTTTCAATCCTGAAGTGTCACTGAATCTTTTCCCACAGATTTTGCAAAGGTACGGCCTTTCACCTGTGTGGGCTCTCCTAATGTGTACTATCAACTGACCACTCTGGCTAAAAGACTGCCCACATGTTTTACAAGTATGCGGCTTTTCACCTGTGTGGATTCTTATATGACCTGATAAGCCTGAAATCTGAGTGAATCTTTTCCCGCAGGTCTTGCAAACATATGGCTTCTCACCTGTGTGGGCTATTCTCATGTGGACTGTCAAGCCACTTCTCTGTCTAAAAGATCTCCCACATGTTTCACAAGTATATGGCTTCTCACTGCTGTGGGATGTCATGTGTGTTTTCAACTTTTTCATTTCACAGAAACATTTCCCACAGGTCTTACAAAGGTACGGCTTCTCCCCAGTGTGATATCGCATGTGAACGTTCAAGTGCCCACTAGCTCTGAAATCTTTTCCACATGTTTTACAAGTATACGGCTTCTCATTTGTGTGGATTGTCATATGTGCTTTCAATCCTGAAATGTCACTGAATCTTTTCCTGCAGGTCTTGCAAAGGTACGGCTTCTCACCTGTGTGGGTTCTGATGTGGACTTTCAACTGACTGCTAGTTCTGAAGTATTTCCCACACGTTTCACAGGAAAATGGTTTCTCACCCGTGTGGATTCGTATATGAACGCTCAAATCTGATATGTATCTGAATCTTCTTCCACAGCTGCTGCAAGTATACGGCTTCTCACCTGTGTAGACTGTCATATGTGTTTTCAATGCTGAAATGTCACTGAATCTTTTGCCGCAGGTCTTGCAAAGGTACGGCTTCTCACCTGTGTGGGTTCTCATGTGAACTATCAAGACACTGCTAGTTCTGAAGTCTTTCCCACATATTTTACAGGAAAATGGTTTCTCACCTGTGTGGATTCTTATATGAACGCTCAAATCTGATGTGTATCTGAATCTTCTTCCACAGCTGCTGCAAGAATACGGCTTCTCACCTGTGTGAATTCTCAGGTGTTTCTGCAAATCTGACTTCCTCTTAAAACCTTTTCCACATGTGTCACAGGAGTTTTTACCTGTGTGAGGATTATGGTGAACCTCTGACATGGTAGACTTGTTTACATTGTTTCTGTGGCTTCTGCTTTTGTGATCTTCATTCTTTTGTTCTGGCTCTGCATCTCTAGTTGATCCTGAGTCTTCATGCTCGCCTCCTTTCGGATCTTGGCTCTCAGCTACATGACAGCTGTGAGAGAGGAGCTGGTGGTCACTTTTCAGTTCTGCTTCACTGTGGTCTCTTTCCTCATAAGTAGGAGTCAACATAAAGGTATCAGTCTCCTGCTTCAGTACAAGCTGCTCTCCCTCCTGACTGGTACAGAGTTCCTCCTGTTCCTCTTTAATCTGTGGAGGCTCTGGGTCCTCTTGGTCCAGACTGGAGTTCCTCTCCTGAATACAGAGCTGCTGGTCAGCCAGAACCTCCTCCTCCTTCCAGACATGTTGCTGTGGGAGCTCTGGAGGGACAGAGAACAGAAGGAACAGGCTACTACTGGGATGGGAAAGAAAAGGATGCACACACGCGAGGAAATGAGTACCAGTATATATAAGTTTTACACACCTATCCTGTGTAACTTCATTTCGTGTCTCCAAACGATATCCAGCAGTCTGCGCTGACGATCGATCTCTTCCTCGTACTCGACGATTAGTTTTTTAACTCGGAATATTTCTTCAGCAGTTAGTCGCTCGTTGACAAACTCTCTCAAACACTCAACTGAAGACAAGTTGGTTAATTTCAAAGGAAATAATTATCGGCCCTACGACTGCAATAAAGTCTTCCAGTGAATTTAACTCACGCGGCTAAATCTGGCGCTTGGTTTGTTTACTTCCGCTGGATGTCACACTGTTAAGTTCCGACAGTGTGAGTGCGGGAGCTTTTCGTTCCGCTTTCAACTGATGGCATTTCATTAGAAACAGGCCTATATGTTTATTATCATTAGCAAGGTTATCAGTACATTTACCTCGCTTTATTCCACAAGGAAATGTAATACTCATTTCTAAACTACTGCACAGTCGTCTTTCTTTGTTACTTTGTACATAATCATTTTGCACAAAAAAACAAAAAATCAGTGGTGGAAGAAGTAGGTCCAATGCGATGATTTAGATTCATTCAAATTGTTAGGTAAGTAAAAGCACAGAAGAAGGCTACTATTAGCAAAATATATTCAGAGTAAGGAATGTTTGATTAATCATTATGCAGAATGGCCCTAATGCCACATAATTATATAATATTTTATTAACTGATGTCATAACATGTGGAAAGCTGGTCAACATTCAGCTACGTTTTACCTATTTTACAACCTGTTTAAAAGTTATGTTAACAGTGCATCTCATTATATAAGCCTGCCATAAGTTTTTTTTTTATGCGATCAATATACAATTAAGCAATAGCTCACTTCAGGCCGTGATATACGCATATTATATCGCAGTTAAGGGGTGATGTTCGGCCCGACGTCTGACAGGCAGCCACGCAGCCTTACATACTGCGGTGTGTCAGTGAGGTAGTCAGTGATCCAGGCCACTAGGTCCTGATCCACCTGCATCACCAAGAGCTTCTCTGCAAGCCGGAGATGGTGGACAGTTTCAAAAGCACTGGAGAAGTCGAAGAACATGATCCTCGCAGTGCCGTGTGCTTCTCCAGGTGGGAGGACCGAGGTGAGGCTACTAGAGGAGGTGGTGGGGGGGTCCGGCCAGCGTTGTTGAGTCAAACCTGTTCAAAAACTGGTTTAAGTCATCGGCTCAGTCCATTGACCCCTCTGCTGCTCCAGCTGGCCTGTTCATGTCTGTGATGGTCCTCACACAGCTCTCTGGTGGTGTTCTGCTGTAGCTTCCCCTCGATCATGTTCTTATAACAGTCCTTAGAAATATTTCCCAGTCGATTGTCCTGTAGCACTCCATCAGGGACTCCTCTATGTATCTTCCCCAACCACAGCTGCACATTTAACCTGCAAACCAACTATCATAACTACGTGTCACTGTCATATGCATGTTTTGTGGTGGTGAATAATTAAAATACCGCTTCATAGTCTTGTTTCCTGTCCATCAGATGTAGATCAGCCTGTCAGTCATTTGAAGTGATTGCACACTAGACTGACAAAAACCACAAGACACTTTTGGAAAATGAACATTTATGACGTTTGGCAAATGCTCTTATCCACACAGTTGGTCATTCACACTGCTCCGTTAGTTTAACAGCCACTACTGTGCACTCACTTTAAAACAAAGATTCCCAAGACATAGAAGACTTATTGTATACAAAGACTAATCTATTGAAGGTGTTTGAGGTTAAACATCTTTTTCTACTGAACTGCACCTTTTACATGTTTTGTAAGAATATGACCTGTGTGTTGTGTTCTCTCTGATTTTTCTGCAATTTTGACTTATTTATATATTGAGTCTTTAATATGGTAGTTTTATACTTAATGTGAATACTGATTTTGTGATGACTTTTCTATGGTTTTGGATCTCATCTTTTAAATAATTTATCAAGAAAAATGTGCGTGGCTTTTATTCTGTTGGTCAGTGAAAGGGAGATGCTTTTATCTTGAAACCAATGAAGTTGAAATCAATCCGCTATACCCTACACAGACCTCAGGACTGATGACAGGCCTCCCTCTCACTTACCTAAACCCGCTGTGTTGTTTAGCGTCAGAACCTTCAAGCTTTATGAGTCTTCACTTAATAAATCTTAATAACATCACTATACGGCAACAGAACTCCAGACATAATCCTCTGTTGGATCAGGCAGGTGTTCTCCCTCTAATACTAAGAGTGCCACTAATAATGACCCGACCCCACTGTGACACAAGAATACTGGTTTCGCTATAAAATACTTTACCCATCTCTTTAGACATACTTTATGTTGTCACGTGTATGTTCTTAATTATATTCAGCTTACCAAATAAAATATTTTAAACATAAATTATTCTTATATTAAATTGAAAACTGTGAAATAAATGTACACTGTGTAACTGACTGATGACAGCTACAATTTCGACAATGCAGAAAAAAGGGATGGACTCACAGAAATTGATAATAAAAATGTTAATCTACTGTAAAATGCAGAATATCATGGAATCAAAAAGCCAAAATGTGGATGCAATTTATTAAAAATCTGAGTTTCCCCAGCACTAGAAGTATTTTTTCCACAGAAAAAATCTATGCCATTCAGCGCCACCTTCTTACTCAGTCGCTGGCTCACAAACACACACAGTCATTGAAGTGAGTCGGAAAAGCTCATCACATCAACAAACTCTCAAGTGCAATCACATCAGTGGACGCAAAATGCAAGCTTGATGAATACTTAGTGGCTGTGTGGGCGGAGTCAGATATTAAGTTGGGAAAAAATGAGAAAGCTACGACCGGTCAAGCTTTGTAAACTAGGAGCATTGCCCACATGAGAGTAGCCTACGTCAGACCCACTTATCAATGTGTGCTCAGCAGCATATGGAGGCTGTCCTGTGAGAACAGATTCTCAGTAGTCAGGTAATCACCTATTTAATAGAAGACAACTTACAGTACATGTATTGCAACAATACATTCACTGTGAATTGTCCCCTATTAAATAGTATAACTAAATAATTTCACAGTACTTTCAAGGATTCAAAATTATTTTATTGTCATTTTACAACAGGGTTGTAAAAAGAAGTTCTGTTTGCAACTCCCTTCTGCTACATACCAGACAAGAAACAGTCAATATACAACAATCATAAAAAGGTAAACAGAAATAAACTATACTACATGGAGCAGTGATAAGGATGGATTTTGAATTTAAGAATGGCTTGGTGGCCTGATGTTACAGTGTTTTAATATAACAAATTCCTACTGATGACAATTTTAATATTTTCTTATGTTATTACTGTAAAACTTCAATTATTAGCCGAGCCCCAAATAGCCGCCTACCTCCTTTACTGGCATGGTGTGGGAACACATTTTGACAAATAAACGCAGGTCTCCATTAAATGCCTGGTCTGGTTTTTGTACAAGTTCTATGGATGTATAAAACTTCCTAAATCCTGCAGGGTCGCCTGCTTTAGCTGCTTCTAAGCTGCTTAGACCGTTAATACAAATATTAATGTTTAAACGTATGATCAATATGTCAGTAAGGGCATGCAACACATCATTACATCGGTTAGATTCTCCACAATAGCCTACATCTGGTACAAGAGATGAAAAGAAAAAAGAAGTGCCTTCTCCCGTTACCGTTGAAGCCTCGTTAAGTCAGAATGTGTCCTTTCTTGATTATTTATATTCTTTTAGTCTGTAAGTATCAACCGACCAAAAGAATCAAAACAGCTTCTCATAAAAACTTAATCCAAGTTGTGAATACTGTCATGTGAAGTCCATCGCTGTCTGCTAACTTCTGCCACACTCCTCTCATCCTGCACCGTGGTGATGTTTTTGTTATGTAGCTGCCTTCAAAATAAAAGCGCATAAGCCGTCTGTCGGACCTAGATCAAATGAATGACGTGTATTCATATTATTGGATCATTTTTATACATGTAATATTCTGTTTGAAATAAACTGTTTCATAGCTGCTATTGTTTTGTGCAAGTGGAATTAAAGGCCTGTCCCATATGGACACCTGTCCCAAATATAGGCAGGGTCAATTCAGTGATTTTCGCAAACAAAAGCCCCAGCTATTAATCAAAACAGAAAACACAGAATATGTAAAAAGAAAAAAAATATATCAAAACAGATATAAAGTATTTCAGAGGGCCCTACTTGCAAGAATTTTTCAAGTAATCGATTTGAGTAAAACTTTTCCGACAAATGCTGCAATGATGCAGCTCCTCACTTCTGTGAGTTCTTGTGTTTTGACCACAAACCTCTAGAACAGAATTATCTCCAACATATTTAGCAAATATGCTGCATGCCTGTATTCCATCTTCTGTGCCGTGTCAAATTAGACACATCAGCATATATTGTCCAGAAAATAGCGCAAAGCTACGGCTTCTCACCAGTGTGGGTTCTCATGTGGACTTTTAAAGTAACTTTTTGGCTAAAAGATGTCCCGCATGTTTCACAAGTATACGGCTTCTCACCTGTGTGGATTCTCATATGTGTTTTCAATCCTGAAGTGTCACTGAATCTTTTCCCACAGATCTTGCAAAGGTACGGCTTCTCACCTGTGTGGGTTCTCATGTGGACTTTCAAGTGACTTTTCAGTCTAAAAGATGTCCCGCATGTTTCACAAATATACGGCTTCTCCCCTGTGTGGACTGTCAAATGTGTTTTCAATTCTGAAGTGTCACTGAATCTTTTCCCGCAGGTCTTGCAAAGATATGGTTTCTCACCTGTGTGGGCTCTTCTCATGTGTACTTTTAAGTGACAACTCTGGATAAAAGATTTCCCACATGTTTCGCAAACATATGGCTTTTCACCCGTGTGGGCTCTTCTCATGTGGATTTTCAAGCCACTACTGTGGCTAAAAGATCTCCCACATGTTTCACAAGTATATGGCTTCTCACTGCTGTGGGATGTCATGTGTATTTTCAGTTTTGACATTTCATAGAAACATTTCCCACAGGTCATGCAAAGGTACGGCTTCTCACCAGTGTGGTATCGCATGTGGAGCTTCAAGTGCCCACTAGCTCTGAAATCTTTTCCACACGTTTCACAAGAATACGGCTTCTCACCTGTGTGGATTGTCACATGTGCTTTCAATCCTGAAGTGTCAGTAAATCGTTTCCCACAGGTCTTGCAAAGGTACGGTTTCTCACCTGTGTGGGCTCTTCTTATGTGGACTATCAACTGACCACTGTAGCTAAAAGATTTCCCGCATATTTTACAAGAATATGGCTTCTCACCTGTGTGAATTCTCAGGTGTGTCTGCAATAGTGACTTATATTTACAATCTTTTCCACATGTGTCACATTTGAAAGAGTTTTCACCTGTGTGAGGATTATTGTGAACCTCTGACATGGTAGACTTGTTTACATTGTTTCTGTGGCTTCTGCTTTTGTGATCTTGATTCTTTTGTTCTGGCTCTGCATCTCTAGTTGATCCTGAGTCTTCATGCTCGCCTCCTTTCTGATCTTGGCTCTCAGCTACATGACAGCTGTGAGAGAGGAGCTGGTGGTCACTTTTCCGTTCTGCTTCACTGTGGTCTCTTTCCTCATAAGTAGGAGTCAACATAAAGGTATCAGTCTCCTGCTTCAGTACAAGCTGCTCTCCCTCCTGACTGGTACAGAGTTCCTCCTGTTCCTCTTTAATCTGTGGAGGCTCTGGGTCCTCTTGGTCCAGACTGGAGTTCCTCTCCTGAATACAGAGCTGCTGGTCAGCCAGAACCTCCTCCTCCTTCCAGACATGTTGCTGTGGGAGCTCTGGAGGGACAGAGAACAGAAGGAACAGGCTACTACTGGGATGGGAAAGAAAAGGATGCACACACACAGGAGCACCAGTATATATTTAAACACTTTTGTATCAAATTCCTATATTACTAAAATAATTAAGTTTTACACACCTATCATGTGTAACTTTACTTCGGGTTTCCAAACGATATCCAGCAGTCTGCGCTGACGATCGATCTCTTCTTCGTACTCGACGATAGTTTTTTTCAAAACTCGCAATATTTCTTCAGCAGCAGCAGTTAGTCGCTCGCTGACAAACTCTCTCAGACACTCAAATGAAGACATTGTTGCTTAAGTACAAATAAATAATTAGCGGTGCTAAGACTACAATAAAGCCTTCCAGCAAATTTAACTCACGCGGCTAACTCAAGTACTTGGTTTGTTTACTTCCGGATGTCACACTGTTAAGTTCCGACAGTGTGAGTGCGGGAGCTTTTCGTTCCGCTTTCAACTGATGGCATTTCATTAGAAACAGGCCTATATGTTTATTATCATTAGCAAGGTTATCAGTACATTTACCTCGCTTTATTCCACAAGGAAATGTGGTACTCATTTCTAAACTACTGCACAGTCGTCTTTCTTTGTTATTTTGTAGATTTTTTGCACAAAATGAAAGCAGTGGTGGAAGAAGTAGGTCTATTGAGATTATTTGAATTCATTCAAAATGTTAGTTAAGTTAAAGCACAGAAGAAGGCTACTATTAGCAAAATATATTCAAAGTAAGGAACGTTAAATTTATCATTAGGCACAATGGCCCTAATTTCACATAATTATATAATATTATATTAACTGATGTGGAAAGCTGGTCAGCATTCAGCTACGTTTTGCCTGTTTCGCAACCTGTTTAAAAATTAAGTTAACAATGCATCTTATTATATCAGCTTGCCATACGTTTTTAGCTTTAAGCTGCAAACCAACTATAATAACTACTTATAACTGTCATGTTTTGTGGAGGTGAAGAACTGAAATACTGCTTAAATGTTAAGTATTCTATTACAAAACTGATGCAAGTTTGTTGTAGATCAGCCTGTCAGTCATTTGAAGTGATTGCACACTAGACTGACAAAAACCACAAGACACTTTTGGAAAATGAACATTTATGACATTTGGCAAATGCTCTTATCCACACAGTTGGTCATTCACTCTGCTCCGTTAGTTTAACAGCCACTATTGTGCACTCACTTTAAAACAAAGATTCCCAAGACATAGAAGACTTATTGTTCTAAGAAGTGCCGTTGCCTAAACATACTGTAGTGATTGTAAATACAAAGACAAAACTATTGCATAACTGAGGTTAAACATCTTTTTCTACTGAACTGCACCTTTTACACAAGTTTAAGAATATGACCTGTGTGTTGGGTTCTCTCTGGTGTCTCTGCAATTTTGACTTATTTACATATTTAATCTTTAACATGGTATAGTTATACACTTAATGTGAATACTGATTTAATGATTTTTCTGTGGTTTTGGATCCGTGTTTCTAGTTGATAGAGTCTAAATACTTTTCCTTAAAATGAACAGGTTTAACTGACAACAGTTTTGACAATCAACTCATCTTTTATGTCATTTATCAAAAAAAATGTTGCTTTTATTCTGTTGGTCAGTGAAAGGGAGATGCTTCTATCTTGAAACCAGTGAAATTGAAATCCATCCGCTATACCCACTTAGACCTCTGGAGGTGGGCACTGACTGATGACAGACCTCCCTCTCGCTTTACTCCTTTCCTAAACCCGCTGTGTGTTCACCATCCCTTAAGTCAGAGTCCTGGTTAGAGACACTGTAAAAGAGTTCGGTGCTGTATTTCCTTTTGTCAAACTGGTCTCTGTCATTCTCAGGTGGCTGTGTTCGGTCGTGTTCACCGTTTTGGCCGATGCTCTCAATGCACGCTCTCAAGCAACAGGATGCTGACTGCAGTTCACTCAACGGGCCATTGGTGTCATAAATGAGGATTTTCTGAAAAGTCTTACACAGGCGGTTCCGTACATACTTAATTAGGTGAAAAATACAGGCAGGTAACTCATAAGATAATAGAAGCTGATGTGGAAATATTAAAAGTATATAAAAGCATAGACTGAAAAATCCCTTTCAGTCAGAAACACACCAGTGAGGAAGAAAAAGACTGAGGTTGCTTTCACACCTGTAGTTTGGTTCATTTGGTGCAGACCAAGTGAAAAAAATGTTACACTATTGCATTTTATTTCTGGTCCGGTTCATCTTCACACTGCAGTTTTACAAACGAACCAAGAGAAGTAACAATGACGTTACACATACTTACAGGTAGCTTGTTGATTGGAAAGCTTTGGCAATTGTCATCCTGCATTATCAGGACCCACGTGGGGAAATCAAACTCCGGTGACTGACAGAAGTTTGTGCAGCCCCTTAATGCTTCTGATCTGTATCGCAAAGAGCTCATGAGGTAATAATTTGTTAAAAGCATGATTAGTTGTTAGACCGCAGATCAAACCGCATAGCCTATTATGAATAATAATGTAAAAACAGGACGTGTACAGTAATAATTCGGGGCTTATTAGCCTATAGTATACCGTGGTATCGCTGTCACACGTGTTTTATTGACATAATGAACTAACAGTAAACTGAGTAGTACTACTGGCCCTCCTTTTTAAACCAATTTTAACGTATGAATCAGGGGAAATACCCACACTGACAAGTTGGGTAAGCTATACGTTATGATTTTCATAAACATAGCCTATACAGATCAATTATAATATCGCTTAACACATTTCGCGGTCAGCAGATGGATTTATTAATGGTTTGGTTTTGAAAATAATGCTCAGATCACATCTCTGCTATCATAAAATCCAGTGGTTGGTTCGTTTCGCTTTCATACCACAAGCGAACCGCACCAGAGTTTGTTTGAAACGGTAACAACACATTTTTAATTTGAGTTAATGGTTGCATTTGAAGGAATACGTAAAGAAATGATGTTAACAAATAAATCAGACAATGCAAAAGCAATGTATTGATATTCCCAAAGTTATGGTCTTGAAGTATAATCCCAAGTCCCCAATGTCCAAGACCAAGACAAGAGCGCTTCAGGAGGCCACCTAAATAGTATAAAAGTATCAAAGAGGCATGTTCACATTTAACAGGGCATCTTATATGGTAATATAAAACTGATCAGGTCAGAAAACTTAAATGTAAAAACTGACTTCTTGCAAAGATGTGTAGGAGTAGTACAGAACTTAAATATCACTTGATGTAGATGGAGTTTAAACTACAAATTTGAGATGCTTCATAAATAGACATTTGTCAAAACTAACAATCAAGATCACACCATTACTTGAACAGCCATTACTGTGCACTCACTGTGAACGTAAACTCTTTCCTCCATTTGAGAGATTATTGTTTCAAATAAATACTTTTGCAAACAGAAATATAAACAATACCGTCATATTAAAGGAAAATTTACAATAGGACTGGTCTACTGCAATTTTCAAATTGCAGGAAGTGCAATATTAGTTAAAGGCTTCATGCGTGTCAGAATAACATTTATAATTATATATTGTGTTGCAGCAGAGATGTCCTGCCCTACACATCATATTCTACAGACTTATGAAGACATCTCTGTTTAGTAAATCGTTGCAAAAATCACACCATAATCATTTAAATTTATTTAATTCAAAGGTGAAATCATCTCCACAGCAGTTTCAGCTTTTCCCAAAAGTGCTGCAATTATGCAGCTCCTCACTTCTGAGTTCTTGTGTTTAGAACATAAACCTTTAAAACTGAATTGTCTTCCACATATGTCGCAGGCTACTTGCCTGTATGCGTTCTTCTGTGATGTGCCGAATTAAAGGCATCAACAAATCTTTTCCGACAGACCTTGGAACGGTACAGCTTCTCACCTGTGTGGGCTCTTCTCATGTGGACTTTCAAATTACCTTTCTGTCTAAAAGATGTTGCGCATGTTTCGCAAGTATACGGCTTCTCGCCTGTGTGGATTGTCATATGCATTTTCAATCCTGAATTGTCACAGAATCTTTTCCCACAGGTCTTGCAAAGATACGGCTTCTCACCTGTGTGGGATCTCATGTGCACTTTTAAGGAACTACTAGTTCTGAAGTCTTTCCCACATGTTTCACAGGAAAATGGTTTCTCACCCGTGTGGATTCTAATATGAGTCTTCAAATCTGATGTGCATCTGAATCTTTTCCCACAGCTGCTGCAAGAATATGGCTTCTCACCTGTGTGAATTCGCAGGTGTGTCTGCAATAGTGAGTTATATTTACAATCTTTTCCACATGTGTCACATTTGAAAGAGTTTTTACCTGTGTGAGGATTATGGTGAACCTCTGACATGGTAGAGTTGTTTACATTGTTTCTGTGGCTTCTGCTTTTGTGATCTTGATTCTTTTGTTCTGGCTCTGCATCTCTAGTTGATCCTGAGTCTTCATGCTCGCCTCCTTTCTGATCTTGCCTCTCAGTTACATGACAGCTGTGAGAGAGGAGCTGGTGGTCACTTTTCAGTTCTGCTTCACTGTGGTCTCTTTCCTCATAAGTAGGAGTCAACATAAAGGTATCAGTCTCCTGCTTCAGTACAAGCTGCTCTCCCTCCTGACTGGTACAGAGTTCCTCCTGTTCCTCTTTAATCTGTGGAGGCTCTGGGTCCTCTTGGTCCAGACTGGAGTTCCTCTCCTGAATACAGAGCTGCTGGTCAGCCAGAACCTCCTCCTCCTTCCAGACATGTTGCTGTGGGAGCTCTGGAGGGACAGAGAACAGAAGGAACAGGCTACTACTGGGATGGGAAAGAAAAGGATGCAGACACGCCAGGGAATGAGCACTAGTATATATTTAAACACTTGTGATTTTGTATCAAATTCCTATAATACTAAAATAATAAAGTTTTACACACCTGTCCTGTGTAGCTTTATGTCGGGTTTCCAAACGATATCCAGCAGTCTGCGCTGACGATCGATCTCTTCTTCGTACTCGACGATAGTTCTTTTAAAAACTCCGAATATTTCTTCAGCAGCAGCAGTTAGTCGCTCGTTGACAAACTCTCTCAAACACTCAACTGAAGACATTGTTGCTTAATTACAAATTAAGTAATTAGAGGCGCTACAACTACAATAAAGACTTCCAGTGAATTCAAACGCAGCTAACGCTGTCGCTTGTATTGTTTACTTCCGCTGGATGTCACACTGTTAAGTTCCGACGCGAGTGCGCTTCAACTGATGGCATTTTATTAAAAATGTGTTTATTATCAGTAGCAAAATTCAAATTAGCTTTATTGGCATGAATGTATAGCAACAATATTGCCAAAGCTACATATAAAGTACATAAGGACAATTAATTTCATACATTTCATTAGATAAGGAAATAAAACAAATTGTGTTTGTGTATGTTAATACAAAATAAAATAATAATAATATATATATATATAAAACTTAAAAAGGTAAAACGTAAAAATAAATATTTTTAAAAAGTAAATAAGTAAAACAATAAGCGTGTGTGTTAGTATGTTAGAAAATGAAAATAATATCCATCCATACATCGTCAACCTCTTATCCTGCGTACAGGGTCGCGGGGAGGCTGGAGCCAATCCCAGCTGACATCGGGCGCAAGGCGGGGTACACCCTGGACAGGTCACCAGTCCATCGCAGGGCCACACATAGACGAACAACCACTCACGCTCACACTCACACCTTCTTGCTGTGAGGTGTGGTGTATAACATATGTGCATTTGACCATTACAGTTTAAAATAGCGCTCTAGCAGCTGGAAATCAAGAACAGTGTCAAGCGGATTTCTTCTCAACACATCATCGCAGCATTATTGTTCAGACACCACAGAGGCGACAGTGCTAACCACAGCACCACCGTGCCGCCCATGAAAATAATATAATAAATTAAAATAAATAAATAAAACAGTAAGCGTGTGTGTAAAAAAAAATTAAAATAAACTAAGTAAATGACACAGTAACGTGTGTGTGTTTGTGTTAAAAAAATAAACATTTTAAATTAAAACATTTTAAAAATTAAAATAAACTAAGTAAAGTGGTTAGCACTGTCGCCTCAAAGCAAGAAGGTCACAGGTTCACAGTTGCCCCGTCCTTTCTGTGTGGGATTTGCTCCAGCCCCCGCGACCCTGTACACAGGATAAGCAGTTGACAATGGATGAATGGATGGATGGATGGAAGTAAATGACACAGTAACGTGTGTGTTAAATAAATAAATAAAATTTAAAAAATTAAAAATTTAAATAAACTAAATGACACAGTAACGTGTTATTATAATAATATATAAAAATTTAAATTAAATAAATAGATAAAACTGTATGTATATTATGAGTGTGTATATTAATAGGCAAAAATAAAATAAAATAAATTAATTAGTTCATTTAAAAATATCAGTATCAAATGTGAGATTTAAAAACACAACAATTACTAAGATATCAAACAATCAAAATAATAACAATTTGAAAATTAGTACAATTATTTATTAGTCTAAGTTTCCACTGGTCTTCCTCAGTTCATTGCATGATGAGATATATTTTGCAGCAATTATTTGACATTTGGGTATTTCCCCCAGTAAATAGGGGAGTTTCTGTGTGTCTGATATAGATTCGAATTTGGGGTATATTTGGGAAATGTTTGCAAGGTGTTTTGTCTTTGTGTTTTATATTTGGGCATGAGGTTAGAAAGTGCAGCTCTGTCTCTACCTGTCCTCTGTCACACTGGGAGCAGAGTCTCTCCTCTTGTGGTAGCCAGCTTTGTCTGTGGTGACCCTTTTCTATGGCCAGGCTGTGTTCACTCAGTCTGTATGTTGTCAACATTTTTCTTAGTTTAGGATATTTTATTGTACTCAGGTAATCTGCCAGTTGATTGTGATGGTATGTCTGGAGGTTAACTGATTTCAAGTGATTGTAAAATTGAATTGATCTTTTCTGTATTTTTAGTAAGAGGGAGTATTGGCCGAGCTCTGCTCTGCACTGGTTATTTGGTGTTTTTCTCTGCACCTGCAGGATGCTCTTACAGAACTCTTACAGAAATGATTCTATGATTGTGTTGTCCCATTTCTCAAATCATTTATTATTTAGTTGTGGCCCCCAAATTTTGCTGCCATATAGAATTATTGGTTCTATTACAAATTGAAAAATTTTAAGCCAGATTTCAGGTTTCTTTTTATTGCATAGAAAGCTCTCCTTGCTTTGTCCCTCAGATCTTACACAGCCATGTTAAAGTTCCCCGTGTATGTAATGTTGAGGCCAAGGTAAGTGTAGTTTTTTGTGTGTTGTAATTTAGTGGTGTCTAAATAGAAATTGTGTGTAACCTGATTTCTGTATTGTTTCTGAAAGATCATTATCTTAGTCTTTGCTGTGTTTACTGCCAGGGCCCAGGTCTGACAGAATCTCTGAAGGAGGTTAAGGTGCTGCTGCAAACCTTCTTTAGTAGGTGAGAGCAACACTAAGTCATCTGCATACAGCAGACCTCTGATCTCTGTGTCGTTCAGGAGGGGGCCAGGCGCTGTGGAACTCTCTAATTGGTTTGCTAATTCATTGATATATAGGTTGAAGAGAATTGGACTGAGATTGCATCCCTGCCTCACTCCCCGGCCCTGGGAGAAGCATGCTGTTTGTTTGTTTGTTTCCAATCTTTATGGCACATTCACTTTTTGTATACATATTCTTAATCAAATTATGTGTTTTTCCTCCAATGCCACTTTCAAGTAGCCTATAGAAAAGGCCCTCATGCCAGATGGAATCAAAGGCTTTTTGGAAGTCAACAAAATGGGCATATACCTTTCTTTTCTTATCTTAATGTTTAATTCTTGATCTATTAGAGTCTGGAGGGTAAATATATAGTCCGCAATTTGGCAAAAAAACTATTTGCCATTTATGCAGAATATTGTGGTCATCAAGAAAGCTGACAAGTCGTTTAATGATGTTGCAGAATATTTTTCCCAGGTTACTGGATACACATATTCCTCTGTAGTTATTTGGATCATATTTATCTCCGGATTTATGAATTGGGGTTATTAAACCTTTGTTCCAGATGTCTGGAAAAGTTCCAGTTGATAGAACAGTGTTGAATAGTTAAATCTGATTTTATGGTCTGAGTATTTGATCATTTCGTTGAGGATTCCATCAATACCACAAGCCTTTTTTCCTTTCAGGGACTGGATGACTTCTGTTAATTATTGTTCTGTTCCGGGTAATCTAGAGGGTTTTGGTTGTTTTTTATCACCACCTCCAGAGTTTTCCATTTTGTGAATATCTTGTACTGATCATAATTTTTTATAATATTACTGTATAATTCACTAAAGTGATTAATCCAAGTATTTCCATCTTGGATCGCCAAGTTTTGTGGTTTTGTTTAGGTTGTTCCATTTCTCCCAGAACTGGTTGGACTCAAATTCAAATTCACAGAGCTGCTTCTTGCTGTATTGTTCTTTCTTTGTTTTTAGGGTGTACTTGTATTGTTTCAGAGTGGCCTCATATTGACAGCGTATGTTGTGGTCATCTGGGTCCCTATGCTTTTCATTTGATAATTTCCTTAAAGTTTTCCTCAGGTTTTTGCATTCAGTGTCAAACCATTTGTTATTGGTCCTTTGTTGAGGTTTTGGTTTGGAGGCTTTCAAATTAGACAATAGAGCCAAATGATGAAAAATTTAATTGATTTTGTCCACAGCAGAATTTACACCAGAATAATTTTGGTGAAATGTTTCAGTTAGAAATAAATGAGTTAAATCATGTATGTTTTGATTTTCCAGTGCCTTCTGGTACGCCCCCATGCTGTCTGGGGTCCATCTGTATGAGGATGAGCTGTTAAACAGTTCACAGGCACTAGGGGCTCAAGACTTAGACTGAGCCCTTTTCAGATAGATAGTGATTTTGCTGTGGTCTGAGAGGGGTGTGAGGGGGCTGACTGTGAAAGCTCTGAGAGACATTGGATCTAGATCTGCAATGAAATAATCTACCGTACTACTGCCAAGAGATGAGCTGTAAGCGTAGCGACCCAGAGAGTCCCCTCGTAGCCTGCCGTTGACTATGTACAGAACCAGCGTACGGCAGAGCTGAAAAAGCTGCATACCGCTTGTATTAATAAGCTTGTCAAAGCTCTTTCTAGCAGGACATTCAGGGAGGGGGAAGCAGGTGCTTCCAGGTAGGTGTTTGTCTCCCTGGGTGTTCAAAATGTCAGCTCTTTCCCCTGTTCAAGCGTTCAAGTCCCCACTGAGTAATACATTTCCCATGGTTTTATAATGGTTAATTTCCTCCTCAAGAATAGAGAAAATATCTGGGTCGTAGTAGGGGATTCTGATGGAGGTATATGGATGGCCCACATGTAGACATGATGCTCAGCACAAATCATCTTATTGTTAATTTTCAACCATATACACTCTTGAACAAAATCTTAAGACCAGGGGAAACATTGCAAGTACTCGCATTTCGCGCGGGTTGTAAGTTCTGCTTCAAAATGCCAAAAGAAGAAACAGGAGCAAGAGACAAAAAATAGAGAGTAGGCAATTTATTGAAAACTGCATTTAAACTCAAACAGGCTGTTCATCAGCTGATCAAAAGTTTAAGACTATAGGCTTAAAGAGGTAAAATCTGCACAAAAATATGGCTTTCACGTCATTGATCTTCAGGCAGTCACACTGTCATGATCTCCTGATGGCAAAGGCAAAAAGGCTTTCTCTCGTTGAACGTGGCAGGATTGTTGAGCTGCACAAGCAAGGCCTCTCGCAATGCGCCATCGCTGCCAAGGTTGGACGCAGTAAGACAGTCATTTTACATTTCTTAAAAGATCCTGAGAGTTATGGGACAAAAAAGTCAAGTGGTAGACCCAAAGAAATTTCACCTGCAGTGAGCCACAGGATCCGACGGGTTGTCTGTGAAGACACAGGTCGATCCTCGACCCAAATTAAGGCACTTACTGATGCTGACTGTAGCCCAATAACCATAAGACATCATCTGCGAGAGAAGGGCTTCAAGAACAAAAAACGTCTTCAAAGGCCATGTCTCCTCCCACGCCACAAACTTGCCCGTTTGGAATTTGCAAGGGAGCACCAAACATGGGACATTGACGAGAAAAAATTTGGCTTCCAACGTTACTGGCATGACAAGGAGATCCCACCGGAGATGTTTTCTACGCAGCACAGTGGAGGAGGCTCCATCATGATTTGGGGTGCTTTTTCCTTCAATGGGAAAATGGAACTTCAGGTTGTCCAGGGGCGTCAAATGGCGACTGGCTATGTGGACATGTTGCAGCGGGCATCCCTCTTGACTGAGGACCCCCGTCTGTGCAGTAATGACTTGGTCTTTCAACAGGACAACGCTGCAATTCACAACGCCCACCTGACGAAGGACTTCTTCCAGGAGAATAACGTTGCTCTTTTGGACCATCCCGCGTGTTCTCCTGATCTAAATCCCATTGAGAACATTTGGGGATGGATGGCAAGGGAAGTTTACAAAAACGGACGTCAGTTTCAGACCGTGGATGCCCTTCGTGAAGCCATCTTCACCACATGGAGCAACATTACCAGCAGCCTCCTGGGAACAGTCGCATCAAGCATGCCTAAACGAGTGTTTGAGGTGATCAACAAGAACGGTGGGGCTACTCACTACTGAGTCCTTTTTTGACACTTTTAGTTCTGTTGTAGGTTTATTTATGGTCTTAAACTTTTGATCAGCTGATGAACAGCCTGTTTGAGTTTAAATGCAGTTTTCAATAAATTGCCTACTCTCTATTTTTTGTCTCTTGCTCCTGTTTCTTCTTTTGGCATTGTGAAGCAGTACTTACAACCCGGTTATGATCCACGAGTGCGAAATGCGAGTACTTGCAATGTTTCCCCCGGTCTTAAGATTTTGTTCAAGAGTGTATAAGCTTCTTCTTTTTTACAAACTGTGATGGACTGGGTCAGTTCTGATGTAAACCATATGATCATGCCTCCTGAATCTCTGCCATGGGTTATCTTTTGTTGATGGTACTCCTTTCTTGACTACTACTCTCACAGACGTCTTTTTTTTTACTTTGCAGATAATAATTTTGCAAAAAAACAAATAAGCAGTAGTGGAAGAAGTATTCAAATTGTTTAAGTAGAAATACCACAGTAATTCACAGCGCATTCAAAATGTTTGTTCAGTAAAAGTACAAAACTACTGTAGGCAAAATATATTTAATGTAAGGAATGTTATCTTAATCATTATTCAAATGGCCTCTGGCAGCGCAACATAATCATATAACATTTGATGTTACTGATGCCACTTTGTACGTAGCAGCAAGTCAAAATTCATTTCCGTCCATTCTACATCCTGTTGGATAGTTGAACAATGCATATTATTATAAAGCTCATTAGTTATTTTTCATGCAAAGTAACTATTTTAACTATAGGGAGTGAATCTTTTGGTATTTCATGATTCAATTCTAATTCTTTGGGTCACAATTAGATTCAAAATCGATTCTCAATTCAAAACAATTTCAGATCAAAAACTGATTCTTGCTTCAGTACACAGGGGTGCTAATCTCTGGATCTGCCCCAGTCCACTGTGTGCTAACACAGGCTGTGTGGCAAATTATGGCATGAAAGCAGCTCTGGGTGATGGCATGTGATGTGGGCCCGGGCACTGGTAGGGTTCCCGAAATACTTGATTCTGATTTTGCTTGGGAGGCAGTGTTACTGTGGGTATCAACTGTTTTGATGAGAGTAATTGTTTTATGTAATAACATTTAATGGAATTTAAATTCTTGCATGAATCAATGTTTTCCCTCACCCCTAGTAACTACAACATATATAATTAACATTGTAAGTATTCAATTGGAATTCTTATATAGCAATATAAAACAGTGATGTCAGCAACCCTCAAATGTAAAATGTCACTCTTTAGTTCAGTTTATTTGCATAATCATGAAAATACAAATGCATATAATAGAAAAGACTTATTGCAGTACAGGAGAGAAAATAACTAAACACAAAAACTACTACTCACCAAAAACGAAACACAACACATATGGCAGGATAATATCTATATACACAAAGCACACAAACAGGTATAAACAGCAGTAAAAGAAAAATAACAGAAAAACTATCCTAGAATTAAGTTTGTTACCCTAAGTTACATTGTGTGTCATTCAAGTCACATGCAACACTTTCTAGAGACAGCTGGTCAGTCTGGCTGTAAAGAAACAAAATTAAGATCATGTGGACCTTGGGTTACCTAGAGAATGGATCACAGAGTTCGTTCTGATCAAGGCAGCTGAACAGAGAGGAGAGACAGAGTCTGACCTACTGTTTCAGAGTCACAGGATGTCACCTTTGGCTTACTGTAGCTCAGTAAATGACCCTTACATGACCTGGGGAAACCTGTGTGATATAAGCCTTACTGAAGGAGAAACTCCTTCACAAGTAATACAGTCACATGTAGGGAAACCTTACACTAAGAAATTGACATCTCATTTAACCTTCAGCTGAGATGTAGCTATACTGCAAGTTTTCCATTCATAGATGATGGATCTCCACAATGCAGAAAACACAGATGGAATCGTAGAAATTGATAATAAAAATGTTAATCAACTGTAAAACGCAGAATATCGTGGAATCTGCCAAAATGTGGAGGCAATTTATAAAAATCTGGGTTTCCACAGCACTTAAGCCAATTGAACAGAAAAAACCTATGCTGCTGCCATTCAGCGCCTCCTTCTTACTCAATCGTTGGCTCACACAGTCATGTTGAAGTGCGTCGGGACACTAGAAAAAGCTCATCACTTCAACAAACTCTCAAGTGCAATCACATCAGTGGACGCAAAATGCAAGCTTGATGAATACTTAGTGGCTGTGTGGGCAGAGTCAGATATTAAGTTGGGAAAAAATGAGAAAGCTACGACCGGTCAAGCTTTGTAAACTAGGAGGAGCATTGCCCACATGAGAGTAGCCTACGTCAGACCCACTTATCAATGTGTGCTCAGCAGCATATGGAGGCTGTCCTGTGAGAACAGATTCTCAGTAGTCGGGTAATCACCTATTTAATAGAAGACAACTCACAGTACATGTATTGCAACAATACATTCACTGTGAATTGTCCCCTATTAAATAGTATAACTAAATAATTTCACAGTACTTTCAAGGATTCAAAATTATTTTATTGTCATTTTACAACAGGGTTGTAAAAAGAAATTCTGTTTGCAACTCCCTTCTGCTACATACCAGACAAGAAACAGTCAATATACAACAATCATAAAAAGGTAAACAGAAATAAACTATACTACATGGAGCAGTGATAAGGATGAATGGATTTTGAATTTAAGAATGGCTTGGTGGCCTGACGTTAGTGTTTTAATATCCTACCGCTGCAAAACATTTATTGTGAATTGGGTTCCATAAATAATGGTGCATACATTTTAATATTTCTATAAGCATTTCTGTATAATACACCAAATTCACTGATACTGATGACAAGTTTAATATTTTCATACTGAAATGTTATTTTATTAATCTACCACATGATTAAACACTCTTTCTGAAGATGAAATGTGCTTAAATCGTAACACACACAATTCATAAAAATGAAAACAGAAAACAGAATATGTAAAAAGCAAAAAAAACAGAATCTCAAAACAGATGTAAAGGATTTCAGGGGGCCCTACTTGCAGTTTTTTTTGTTCAAGTAATTGATTTGAGTAAAACTTTCCCCACAAATGCTGCAATGATGCAGCTCCTCACTTCTGTGAGTTCTTGTGTGTTTTGACCACAAACCTCTAGAACAGAATTATCTACATATTATAACATATTTAGCAAATATGCTACATGCCTGTATTCGATCTTTTGTGCCATGTCAAATTAGACACATCAGCATATATTGTCCAGAAGATCGTGCAAAGCTACGGCTTCTCACCAGTGTGGGCTCTTCTCATGTGGATTTTCAAGCTACCATTTTGGCTAAAAGATGTCCCGCATGTTTTGCAAGTATACGGCTTCTCACCTGTGTGGATTCTCAGATGTGTTTTCAATCCTGAATTGTCAGTGAATCTTTTCCCACAGATCTTGCAAAGGTACGGCTTCTCACCTGTGTGGGTTCTCATGTGGACTTTCAATTTTGTCATTTCATGGAAACATTTCCCACAGGTCTTGCAAAGGTACGGCTTCTCGCCTGTATGATATCGCATGTGGATTTTCAAGTGACTGTTAGTTCTGAAATCTTTCCCACATGTTTTGCAAGAAAATGATTTCTCACCTGTGTGGATTCTTATATGAACATTCAAATGTGATGCGTATCTAAATCTTTTCCCACAGCTGGTACAAGAATAAGGCTTCTCGCCTGTGTGGATTCTTATATGAGTCTTCAAATATGATGAGGTACTGAATCTTCTTCCACAGCTAGTGCAAGAATATGGCTTCTCACCTGTGTGAATTCTCAGGTGTGTCTGCAATAGTGACTTATACTTAAAATCTTTTCCACATGTGTCACATTTGAAGGAGTTTTTACCTGTGTGAGGATTATGGTGAACCTTGACATGGTAGACTTGTTTACATTGTTTCTGTGGCTTCTGCTTTTGTGATCTTGATTTTGTTTTGGCTCTGCATCTCTAGTTGATCCTGAGTCTTCATGCTCGCCTCCTTTCTGATCTTGGCTCTCAGCTACATGACAGCTGTGAGAGAGGAGCTGGTGGTCACTTTTCAGTTCTGCTTCACTGTGGTCTCTTTCCTCATAAGTAGGAGTCAACATAAAGGTATCAGTCTCCTGCTTCAGTACAAGCTGCTCTCCCTCCTGACTGGTACAGAGTTCCTCCTGTTCCTCTTTAATCTGTGGAGGCTCTGGGTCCTCTTGGTCCAGACTGGAGTTCCTCTCCTGAATACAGAGCTGCTGGTCAGCCAGAACCTCCTCCTCCTTCCAGACATGTTGCTGTGGGAGCTCTGGAGGGACAGACAACAGAAGGAACAGGCTACTACTGGGATGGGAAAGAAAAGGATGCACACACGTGAGGAAATGAGCACCAGTATATATTTAAACACTTATGATTTTGTATCAAATTCCTATATTACTAAAATAATGAAATTTTACACACCTGTCCTGTGTAGCTTTATGTCGGGTTTCCAAACGATATCCAGCAGTCTGCGCTGACGATCGATCTCTTCCTCGTACTCGACGATCGTTTTTTTTAAAACTCCGAATATTTCTTCAGCAGCAGCAGTTAGTCGCTCGTTGACAAATTCTCTCAAACACTCAACTGAAGACATTGTTGCTTAATTACAAATGAAATAATTAGAGGCGCTACAACTACAATAAAGACTTCCAGTGAATTCAAACGCAGCTAACGCTGTCGCTTGTATTGTTTACTTCCGCTGGATGTCACACTGTTAAGTTCCGACGTGCGCTTCAACTGATGGCATTTTATTAAAAATGTGTTTATTATCAGTAGCAAAGATGTACATCTACCTCGCTTCAATTCACAGTGCATTTTGGTACTCCTTCATCGACTACTACTCTCACAGACGTCTTTTTTTTTACTTTGCAGATAATAATTTTGCAAAAAAACAAATTAGCAGTAGTGGAAGAAGTATTCAAATTGTTTAAGTAGAAATACCACAGTAATTCACAGCGCATTCAAAATGTTTGTTCAGTAAAAGTACAAAACTACTGTAGGCAAAATATATTTAATGTAAGGAATGTTATCTTAATCATTATTCAAATGGCCTCTGGCAGCGCAACATAATCATATAACATTTGATGTTACTGATGCCACTTTGTACGTAGCAGCAAGTCAAAATTCATTTCCGTCCATTCTACATCCTGTTGGATAGTTGAACAATGCATATTATTATAAAGCTCATTAGTTATTTTTCATGCAAAGTAACTATTTTAACTATAGGGAGTGAATCTTTTGGTATTTCATGATTCAATTCTAATTCTTTGGGTCACAATTAGATTCAAAATCGATTCTCAATTCAAAACAATTTCAGATCAAAAACTGATTCTTGCTTCAGTACACAGGGGTGCTAATCTCTGGATCTGCCCCAGTCCACTGTGTGCTAACACAGGCTGTGTGGCAAATTATGGCATGAAAGCAGCTCTGGGTGATGGCATGTGAATTCTAAAGTAGTGTATTGTGCTCTTTTAATTTAAATGTACTGCTATATACACAAAAGTACAATAATATGTGGTTTGCAAACACTTTAAACAAATAAGATGCTTTTTACCAGCAGTATTCCCTTTACACAGTAGCCAGAATATATTTCTTGTAAATCTCAACTTAAACATTAATGTCTTCAAATCAAATATAAAACCAAAGCTATTTGTTTATCTAGCTTGTTAAAACTTTTACCATCAGAGTCCAGTTTTTATTTTTTAATTTTTTTTAACAGGTATTAGCAGGTATCTTTCATCAGGGAGCAGCAGAAACACTATGTTCAGTAGGGTTGGGCGATGTCTACAAAACAAGGAGGGTAGCGGTCGTCTATATGCATCTTGCACAGACTTCACTCGGTTAAAAACGTGGCTGAATTTGGGCTGTCAGTGAAAAGATAACAGACGTCTAACCATAGCCCAACAATAGACCAAATACACAGATTTTGAATGACATATCTACTTCTAATAAAAACAGAATAGTGGCTAAAGGATTTTTTTACTCAAACATAACAGGTTGTCATGAATGCTAATCTGTCCAAACAAATTAAATATAAAGATTTTATTAAGAAAAAGGATTACAACGTAGACAACTTAAGAAAAAAACAACATGATGAAAATATAAAAGGAATTATTGATAAAAATATTATTATAAATAGAAAACTGAAAATACAAACAATTTCCACAACATGCGGTAATAAAAACGAAAAGAATGACAAAATAAATGGGTTGGTTACATCCAAATCTAGATCTTCATTTAAGCTGCTACTTCATGCAGGAAGAGCAACAGATGGGTCTCTCGGTTGGTGCCAGTCTCTCGGGTAAATGGGATCCATAACTGTTGAATATGTAAGAATATGAATATAAGTAAATATTATAAGTGACTACATTCACTGTTTTGTCAAGACATGACTACCATCAACAAATGATTTTAAATGAAAACATACAATATATTTCTAATTATCATTCTAACGAAGGTAAAAAAAAAAACCAATCTTTTCATTTATAACGTTTTTTTCTTTTTAATTTAAAAGCCCTTATCTTATAATCAAGATGGCGCCGCAGTCGGCCGCCTCGGGATTACGCTCTGTAGTGCTTTTTGTGTTTTTGTTAATTAACGCGGTTTTCTGCCGTCCCTCTCTGGTAACTTTTACCAGAGAAGAGCTCTTAAACATTGGACATACTGCTCATACTATTCCACCGCTTCCCCGTCTGAGCTCTCACCTGCACTCAAGATCTGTGAAGAGGACGTGAGCCACCTCTTCCAAAGGCAGAAGATCAGGAAGGCTCCTGGACCTGACGGTGTCTCACCATCGCGCCTGAAAATCTGTGCGGACCAGCTGGCCCCCATCTTCACTCAGATCTTCAACAAATCACTGGAGCTGAGTGAAGTTCCCTCCTGCTTCAAACGCTCCACAGTCATCCCGGTCCCCAAAAAGCCTCCATCTCTGGACTGAATGACTACAGGCCGGTCGCCCTGACATCTGTAGTCATAAAGTCCTTTGAAAGACTGGTGTTGGCCCACCTGAAGGACATTACAGGCCCCCTGCTGGACCCCCTGCAGTTTGCCTACAGGGCTACCAGGTCAGTGGATGATGTTATCAACTTGGGTCTGCATTACATCCTGCAACACCTCGACTCTCTTCAGGAGGAGCCCCCCCACTCTGCCCCCCCATCACCATACTCAACAGCCCTGTGTACACATACCTGGCAATAAAACTGATTCTGATTTATTACTGACCCCTGTTTTAGCCATCATGTTTTAGCCTTCATTTTGCATTAGAACAACCAAATAGACAATAGGGAAAGCTGCTTTTATTCTTTTGAGAGCGCTATGTGCTGTGAATGTAAGTGTTCTGAATATTTATTGTTGTGACTGTATGCTGGATAATTTGCAATAAATATTAGGGTCAAAAGTCAAAAACTCATATTTTCACATCATAATGATCTAGTGAGTAAAATACCCGTGGATATCATGGAGTAACGTTAAGTTACACTTGCATGCAGCATGTTAAGCTAACCACAACATGCCTTACTCTACACTTACACGCTGAAATGTCACGGTTCCTACACGTTAACATATAATGTAGATAAATAATGAAGACATGTCAAACAAAGACACAGATACTTACAAGACCAAAGTAAATGTCTTTTTGCTTCCAGTGTCTGCAGTAAACTCTCGCTCGTTGCTCGCTGAAAGGCCGAAATCGTAACGTATCCCTCGTTTAAAAATGGCCAGTTTGTTTATCGCGAGATCTGGCAACTGATGTCTACCAGGGCGGTCCCTAATGTCTAGTAACTTTCAAGTCTCATGTTGCCAGTAGTCATGTCTCAGTAGGGCTACAGTTGCCATCTAGTGGTTGAAAATAGTAACTGCATTTTGTTTTAAAGAGGTGGTATTATGCTTTTTGGCTTTTCCCCTCTCCTTTATTGAGTTACATCTCTTTTTTGCATATAACAGGTTTGCAAAGTGAAAAAGCCCAAAGTCCAGCCCAAAGGGAGTTCCCATCTCCCACAGAAAGCTCTGCTCTGAACCGCTTGAAAACAGCTCGTTTGTAGTCCAGCCCTTCACTTCCTTTACTTGTGACGTCACAATGAAAACGCGTCATAAAGCTTGCCAAGTGGCTAGCGGGGTCAGGCACGCCCTCAAACCAAGCTAGTCTGAGCAGAGGCCCTTTGGCTCCACTCACCTTTGTTTGGTTTTCCATTGTAGAAATGTTGCACCTGTACCTGCTTCCAGGTACTTTTTTTCGTATCACCTCACCTCCGTCGAGGTTCCAAGCGAGCTGAGGGATACTAAAATGTAACTTGAAAACAGGACAGACTGCTGATTAGTCAGAGAGAATATTCACTATTCCGTACTTGTATATCTTTTCGACCAATCAAAGCACTTTTACACTACATCTGCATTCACCAGTCATACACTGAGCCTAAGTGCTTAAACGGAAACTAACATTCACACACTGGCGGAACAGCTGCCAGGGGCAAATTGGGGTTCAGTAGCTTGCCCAAGGACACTTCGACACGCAACCAGGGGGAGCCAGGGATGGAACCGCCGACCTTCCGATTAACAGCCAACCCGCTCTACCTCCTGAGCCACAGCTGCCCCAGACCACTGCATTCACTGCATCATCATTGTGCACCAGACAGAGGCCAGCAACAGAAAGTTTTATATTTTAGTTTTCGTATGTAATTTCATCACTAAATCCACTTTTGAGGTGAGAAATCAGCTGTGTAGATTTCAAATATTGACAGTTTTACGAGAAGTGATGGCCGATCAAAAATGTGCTTGAATATTGTCGGAGTTGAAGAGCTCCGCAAGTGGCTGCGGGGGAAGCCTGTGTTGGTCAAACGGTCTAAAGGGGAGAGTTCCAGCGGCGTATGAGACACCGCCTAGGCCAAAATTCCATACTTTGCATTCACATTCACATACTCCCTTGCACATACATACATACTGTCATTTATAAGTATGTATGTATCCACAAGGTGAGTATTTATGTATGCACAAGGTTAGTATGTATATATTCGCGAGTTTAAGTATGTATATATGTGAGGGTGAGTATGTATATATGCGCAAAGTGAGTATGTATGTATGTGCAAGGTTAGTATGTATATATGCGCGAGGTAAAGTATGTATATATACACAAACTGAATATGTATGTATGTGCGAGTAAAAGTATGAATATATGTATATCAAATAAAAGCCTTAGCTAAATCAGTAAATGCCAATGTAGGTTTATTACTGGTGAATTAACTCTGGTGAATTATAGACTTGTCTGGATGAGTGGTGCAGTGGCAGAAAAATTGATTTCCATGCAGTAGGTCCCGGTTCAAATCCCAGCTGCCTCAGCTCAGCATAGAGAGGATGAGAGGGGTTGTCCATGATGGATTTCAGCTTCCCGCTTATTCTCCTCTCAGTCACTGCCTCCCCACTGTCCAGTTCCATTCCCACCACTGAGCTGGCCTTCTTCACCAGCTTGCACAGTTTGTTGGCCTCCTCAGGAAGAACAGCCACCTCTGTCCTTTCCTGTAAAGGGCCTCTGTGTTGTCTGTCCAGTCCAGTTTGTTTTTGAGGTGCAACCCCAGGAACTTGTAGGTGTCCACCATCTCTACTACTACTACTCTACTGCCGTATTACAAGAGGGGTGTGGGGCCTTGCTTTGAAAGCAAAACAAGTGATGGTTTATTACTGGTTTATTACTGGATGAGTGACGCAGTGGTAGAATAATTGTTTTGTATCAATGGGTGGTGATGGCGCATAGATAAGACACATACCTTTGGTGTGGGAGACATGGGTTCGATTCCCACTGTGACACCAATTGTGTCCCTGAGCAAGAAACTTAACCCCTCATTGCTCCAGGCGTGTGACCTCTGACATGTATAGCAATTGTAAGTTGCTTTGGATAGCGTCAGGTAAATGTCAAAAAACTGAATCTGCGCAAAAAGCAGATTAGTCCGCCAGTCATAAGAAATCACCTGTTATGGTCACAATTACATTTAGGAGGAAGAGGAACATTTTTAAAGAAAAACAAATTATTATTATCTACTACCACTACTATTATCCCCTTGAAAAAATGTAAAGAAATTGCTTATGCCTGGGATTTGAACCAGGAACCTACTGTATAAAAATCAATTTTTCTGCCACTGCACCACTCATCCAGATAAGTCTGTGGAGTTAATTCACTATTAATAAACCTTCACACGTTTCATTGGCATTTACTGATTTAGCTGAGGCTTTTATTTGATCAGTTCCCAGTCTGTGATTGGCAGATGCTCCTCCCTCACTACAGTGTTAAAGTTGTCACAGGAGTTAAAGTTGCTCTTTCTAGAACAGAAAATGCAGTATTTCCCTCCTCTCAGGGTTAATAAACTCAGCAGCAGCTCCTGTGGAGTTGAGAGGCTGACATTGCTGATTTTGCAGGTTTTCCTACTTACAAAGCATTAAGAGGTCTGTAATTTTTATCATAGGTACACTTCAACTGTGAGAGACGGAATCTAAAACAAAAATCCAGAAAATCACATTGTATGATTTTTAAATAATTAATTTGCATTTTATTGCATGACATAAGTATTTGATACATCAGAAAAGCAGAAGTAAGTAGCAAAGTCTGCAAAATCAGCAGTGTATCAAATACTTGTTCTCCTCTCTGTACATACTAACCTTGCACATACACACATACTCAACCTCACATATATATACTGCTCAAAAAAATAAAGGGAACACTAAAATAACACATCCTAGATCTGAATGAATGAAATAATCTCATTAAATACTCCTTTCTTAACATAGTTGAATGTGCTGACAACAAAATCACACAAAAATGATCAATGGAAATTAAATTTATCAACCCATGGAGGTCTGGATTTGGAGTCACACTCAAAATCAAAGTGGAAAACCACACTACAGGCCGATCCAACTTTGATGTAATGTCCTTAAAACAAGTCAAAATGAGGCTCAGTAGTGTGTGTGGCCTCCACGTGCCTGTATGACCTCCCTACAACGCCTGGCCATGCTCCTGATGAGGTGGCGGATGGTCTCCTGAGGGATCTTCTCCCAGACCTGGACTAAAGCATCCGCCGACTCCTGGACAGTCTGTGGTGCAACGTGGCGTTGGTGGATGGAGCGAGACATGATGTCCCAGATGTGCTCAATTGGATTCAGGTCTGGGGAACGGGCGGGCCGGTCCATAGCATCAATGTCTTCCTCTTGCAGGAACTGCTGACACATTCCAGCCCCATGAGGTCTAGCATTGTCTCGCATTAGGAGGAACCCGGGGCCAACTGCACCAGCATATGGTCTCACAAGGGGTCTGAGGATCTCATCTCGGTACCTAATGGCAGTCAGGCTACCTCTGGCGAGCACATGGAGGGCTGTGCGGCCCCCCAAAGAAATGCCACCCCACACCATTATTGACCCACCGCCAAACCGGTCATGCTGGAGGATGTTGCAGGCAGCAGAACGTTCTCCATGGCGTCTCCAGACTCTGTCACGTCTGTCACATGTGCTCAGTGTGAACCTGCTTTCATCTGTGAAGAGCACAGGGCGCCAATTTGCCAATCTTGGTGTTCTCTGGCAAATGCCAAACGTCCTGCACGGTGTTGGGCTGTAAGCACAACCCCCACCTGTGGACGTTGGGCCCTCATACCACCCTCATGGAGTCTGACCATTTGAGCAGACACATGCACATTTGTGGCCTGCTGGAGGTCATTTTGCAGGGCTCTGGCAGTGCTCCTCCTGCTCCACCTTGCACAAAGGCGGAGGTAGTTGTCCTGCTGCTGGGTTGTTGCCCTACTACGGCCTCCTCCACATCTCCTGATGTACTGGCCTGTCTCCTGGTAGCGCCTCCATGCTCTGGACACTACGCTGACAGACACAGCAAACCTTCTTGCCACAGCTCGCATTGATGTGCCATCCTGGATGAGCTGCACTACCTGAGCCACTTATGTGGGTTGTAGACTCCATCTCATGCTACCACTAGAGTGAAAGCACCGCCAGCATTCAAAAGTGACCAAAACATCAGCCAGGAAGCATAGGAACTGAGAAGTGGTCTGTGGTCACCACCTGCAGAACCACTCCTTTATTGGGGGTGTCTTGCTAATTGCCTATAATTTCCACCTGTTGTCTATTCCATTTGCACAACAGCATGTGAAATTGATTGTCAATCAGTGTTGCTTCCTAAGTGGACAGTTTGATTTCACAGGAGTGTGATTGACTTGGAGTTACATTGTGTTGTTTAAGTGTTCCCTTTATTTTTTTGAGCAGTGTACATACACTCGTGTATATACTCGCGCATATATACACACTAACCTTGTGCAGACATAAATACTCACCTTGCAGATACATACATACTAGTATGCAAGTATGTATGTATGTGCATGACAGTATGTATATGCGAGCGTGTATATATGTATGAGCAAGCAAAGTATTCAATTTTGGCCTAGACGGCTTCTCATAGAGGAGCAATAAGTAATGCACAGCAGAGGGTAGACTTAAAAGATGATGATCAAATGATGACATTAGTCTCTTAATATTACGTCTTTTTTATTATATTTAATAAATTAATATATTTATTAATATTGGCTATTTAAAAGAAATAGCTACAGAATGTCTGAAAGCCTCACTGCATTATGTTCTGTACATTTTTTATATTTTGAATTGTCACCTGCTGCCTGAATTTTGTGTTCCCCTAAATGAAGACTTTTTCACCATAAATTGAGGCAGAAAAGGCAGAAATGTCACCAGAATGCAGGAAATGAAGTCACCAATGCTTAAATCTTTCTGGGGGAGGACCCCCAGACCCTCATTTGAGTCATCTCCACTATTGAAACTAAACCAATGGTCTTGCATTTCAAGAAATCTGCCACATACTGCAAGAAAACAGTCTCTGGGTTGAGACACAGTTTCAGGAGGGGAATAGGTTTGGTCTCCTAATTTAGGCTAAGATGTTGAGATTGACAAGTATGCAGATAACAATAATTCATTATTGACCATGATTAATGACTTGGCTTTTCATTTATACATGCTAAAATTGTGAGTTTGCCAGCTGAACATTTAAAACATTCTTGAGGATAGGGGAGCAATGGCCATTAAGTGGCCTTTTTAGGGTTAGGGGCGCCGTTTGAATCTCGCCTAGGGCGCCAACATTGCCAGGGCCGGTCCTGTTCTTACTCAATCATTGGCTCACACAGTCATGTTGAAGTGCTTCGGGACACTAGAAAAAGCTCATCACTTCAACAAACTCTCAAGTGCAATCACATCAGTGGACGCAAAATGCAAGCTTGATGAATACTTAGTGGCTGTGTGGGCGGAGTCAGATATTAAGTTGGGAAAAAATGAGAAAGCTACAACTGGCCTTTCAACAGGGTTGTAAAAATAATTTCTCTTTGCAACTCCCTTCTGCTACATACCAGACAAGAAACAGTCAATACTCAACAATCATAACAAGGTAAACAGAAATAAACTATACTACATGGAGCAGTAATAAGGATGAATGGATTTTGAATTTAAGAATGGCTTGGTGGCCTGATGTTACAGTGTTTTAATATCCTACTGCTGCAAAAAATTTATTGTGAATTGGGTTCCATAAATAATGGTGCATACATTTGAATATTTCTATAAGCATTTCTGTACGATACGCCAAATTCACTGATACTGAATTATTATTTTATTAATCAACCACATGCTAAACACTCTTTCTGATGACGAAATGCGCTTAAATCTAAACACACACAATTCAGAAAAATTAAAACAGAAAACAATATGTAAAAAAATAAATAAAAAAATAAATAGAATCTCAAAAAAAGATGTAAAGGATTTCAGAGGGCCCTACTTGCAGTTTTTTTTGTTCAAGTAATTGATTTGAGTAAAGCTTTCCCCACAAATGCTGCAATGATGCAGCTCCTCACTTCTGTGAGTTCTTGTGTGTTTTGACCACAAACCTCTAGAACAGAATTATCTCCCAACATATTTAGCTAATATGCTGCATGGCTGTATACGCATGTTTCGCAAGTATACGGCTTCTCACCAGTGTGGATTCTCATAAGTGTTCTCAATCCTGAACTGGCACTGAATCTTTTCCCACAGGTCTTGCAAAGGTACGGCTTCTCACCTGTGTGGGCTCTCATGTGTACTTTCAAGCTACATTTCTGGCTAAAAGATTTTCCGCATGTTTTACAAACGTATAGCTTCTCAAAGTATTTTCCACATGTGTCACATTTGAAAGAGTTTTTACCTGTGTGAGGATTATGGTGAACCTCTGACATGGTAGACTTGTTTACATTGTTTCTGTGGCTTCTGCTTTTGTGATCTTGATTCTTTTGTTCTGGCTCTGCATCTCTAGTTGATCCTGAGTCTTCATGCTCGCCTCCTTTCTGATCTTGGCTCTCAGCTACATGACAGCTGTGAGAGAGGAGCTGGTGGTCACTTTTCAGTTCTGCTTCACTGTGGTCTCTTTCCTCATAAGTAGGAGTCAACATAAAGGTATCAGTCTCCTGCTTCAGTACAAGCTGCTCTCCCTCCTGACTGGTACAGAGTTCCTCCTGTTCCTCTTTAATCTGTGGAGGCTCTGGGTCCTCTTGGTCCAGACTGGAGTTCCTCTCCTGAATACAGAGCTGCTGGTCAGCCAGAACCTCCTCCTCCTTCCAGACATGTTGCTGTGGGAGCTCTGGAGGGACAGAGAACAGAAGGAACAGGTTACTACTGGGATGGGAAGTCAGAATCAGACGCTTTATTGTCAGGTTTGTGTACACATATGAGGAATTTGACTCTGGATTGTACAATGCTCACGATGTGCTTACTTATACAATCATACAGTAATAAAATCACACAAGCTACAGCATAGAGAACACATATATACACACACTATAAACAAAACAAAATAGATTGAGACAATACTGCAATGAGCAGAGTGCAAAGGATGCAGAAGTAAATTATTATTACCATTATTGTTAATGGGTGGATGTGATATACAGGTGCACATACACATGCAAGCATGCATGTACACATGTACACAGTGTGATGGAGCACAGTGCAAAGGATGCAGGAATAAATAAGTATTATGTGCAGGTGTTATATATATGCGGTAGGTGGATTTGGTATACAGTATCTACAATATATGACACTATGAACAGTATGAACAGCTCTGAAATAGAGAATGATGAATAAATGGTAAGTGTCAGCCAGTAAACAGGTCTCAGAGTTACTGGGTTATTGCAGACGTTTCATTCACTGTTCATCAGAGTGATGGCTTGGGGGAAGAAACTGTTCCTGAGTCTGTTGGTTTTGGCGTACAGTGCTCTGTAGCGCCTACCAGAGGGGAGAAGCTGGAACAGGTTGTGTCCGGGGTGAGATGGATCCGCATTGATGTTTCCTGCACGTTTCCTGACTCTGGAAATGTATAAGTCCTGAATGGAGGGCAGGTTGGCACCAATCTTTTCTGCATTCCTGACTGTCCGTTGTAGTCTGCTCCTGTCCTTTTTGCTGGCAGATCCAAACCAGACAGTGATGGAGGTGCAGAGGACAGACTGGATGATGGCTGTGTAGAAATGGATCAGCAGCTCCTTAGGCAGGTTGAGCTTCCTGAGATGGCGCAGGAAGTTCATCCTCTGCTGGACCTTCTTGATTATGGTGTCCGTGTTGGGCTCCCACTTCAGGTCCTGGGATATAGTGGAACCCAGAAACCTGAAGGATTCCACAGCAGACACAGGGCTGTTGAGTATGGTGATGGGGGGGCAGAGTGGGGGAGGCTCCTCCTGAAGTCCACAATTATCTCCACAGTTTTGAGCGTGTTAAGCTCCAGGTTGTTCTGGCAGCACCAGAGAGCCAGCTGATTAAGTGGGGACTGCCACACTTTTCAAGGAAAAATGCCTAAAATAACATGAAAAATGAATCAGTAATAACTCCTCAACCACTTGGCCTAGATGCATAATTCTGGTCTCCTTTGAAGGTTCAGAAGCTAAGGAATATAAATCCACTGTAACTTAACATATTTATTTTACCATCACGGAATAAATGGAGTAGCTATAAAGGAAAATATATTTTTCATCCTTGCCTGCTAAAAAAGCCATATTTTTAATGCAATAAACCATCAAAACCATCGTAAGACAAATTGTAATGCAACTGAATATATTCTAATATGCCTGGAATGCAATTGTAGCTACAAATGTGATGACAATAAACTAAAATACAACAGTTATCAATAATTTAAAGAATTTACCAGGCGAATGTCCATATTTTGACAATATTTACTGTTTAAATGTTGACTCTTATTGGGAGTTATCTTTAAAACACTATTTCTGTCCATACGACCACGTTCCAAATAACATAAAGGTTCCAAAACTAAAAATAGTGAATATTGATTAACATTCCTGTGATCAAAAGCACACCCATGTTTTAAAGGCGTGTAGCGTGAGAACGGAACATCCCACAGTGATGGGGCATCGATCGACCTTTCATTTGATACCCTGGATGTCTATGTAACTACTATGAGTTGGCTACCAAACCACAAAAAAGAGTGGGTGTAAAAAAGCGGCACACTTCCTCTCTGCAGAAAAAAGGGAGAGAAGGCAGGCACACAACTCCCAGGCAATATGCAATATCCAAAATGGTGGCTGGAATTATTTTTGTCAACAACTGAGTTATTTTTGGACTCGAAACGGCGAAAACTGCAAAACTAAGTCAGTGGTGATTGTATATGCATATTCGCTCGTTTGTTGTTACTTTTATCCAGCTAATTAGTCTGTAATTTTGGTGATTTGAGTAATATGAGCTGTACAGCTGATCTCAGCGGGAGATTAGCTTTGGTTTGAGAGGACATGAGGATACACTGTGATTAGCCATAACTGGATGCTTATAACTGCAGCCATGTACAGTGATTACAAAGCCATTTATGTTGTGGTGTAGGCTTATTTAGATGCTTGATTGGTGTTTGGTGTGGATAAAAATGGTTGGTTTGAGCTTCTAGCCGAGCCTCCTAACTTCACAGAGGTGTGTAGCCTGAATAGGATAACAAAATACTAGGATCGTCCACGGATTTCCCATTTGCATTTTGTGCTAGGCCGACTCCTCACCGTCCCGGATGAGGCTGATGACCGTTGTGTGGAGTTTGACAGATGGGTCTCCTGGGGTGCAGTCGTTGGTGTAGATGGAGAAGAGCAGGGGGAGAGCACACACCCTGGGGTGCGCCAGTGTTGATAGTCCGGGTACTGGATGTGATATTCTCCAGCCTGACCTGCTGACTCCTGTCAGTCAGGAAGTCTGTGATCTACTGACAGGTGGAGGCTGGCACAGTGAGCTGGGTGGGTTTGGTGCTGAGGATGTCCAGGATGATGGTGTTGAACGCCGAGCTGAAGTCTATGAACAGGATCCTTGCATATGTCCCTGGAAAGTCGAGATGTTGCAGGATGTGATGCAGTCCTGCGTTTACAGCATCATCCACTGACCTGTTAGCCCTGTAGGCAAACTGCAGGGGGTCCAGCAGGGGGCCTGTAATGTCCTTCAAGTGGACCAACACCAGTCTTTCAGACTTCATGACGACAGATGTCAGGAAAAGAAATGAGTACCAGTATTTTTTATTTAAACACTTTGGGATTTCATATAACCCGAATTCCTCGTATTTCTGTTACTAAAATAATCAAGCTTTACACACCTATCATGTATAACTTAATTTCGGGTTTCCAAACAATATCCAGCAGTTATCATAAAAAGGCTTGTTGACAAACTCTCTCAAACACTCATCTGAAGACACTGTTGCTTAATTACAAATGATTTAATTAGCGGCGCTACAACTATACTAAAGTCTTCAAGTAAACTGAACTCACGCGGCTAAATCTGGCACTCGGTTTGTTTACTTTCATCACATCACACTGTGAAGTTCCGACAGTGGAAGTGCGGGAGCTTTTTGTTCCACTTTCATTTGTCGTCTTTCTTTGTTACTTTGTACATAATCATTTTGCACAAAAAAACAAAAATCAGTGGTGGAAGAAGTAGGTCCAATGCGATGATTTAGATTCATTCAAATTGTTAGGTAAGTAAAAGCACAGAAGAAGGCTACTATTAGCAAAATATATTCAGAGTAAGGAATGTTTGATTAATCATTATGCAGAATGGCCCTAATGCCACATAATTATATAATATTTTATTAACTGATGTCATAACATGTGGAAAGCTGGTCAACATTCAGCTACGTTTTACCTATTTTACAACCTGTTTAAAAGTTATGTTAACAGTGCATCTCATTATATAAGCCTGCCATAAGTTTTTAGCTTTAAGATAAGATAACTTCATTAATCCCCCGTAGGGGAAATTTCGGTTGACATAGCAGCACAAAGGAATATAAAAGAACAGGAGCAGTATTGTAGAAACAGTAACATTCAATATAGATATATAAATATATATACACTGAAAACACACTATATGCGATCAATATACAATTAACATTTTACATAGTACGTACTACTTACAGTCAATATTAATTATTTACAACCAGATAAAGTCTGATACACAACAATCACAAAAAGGTAAACAGAATAAACTATACTACATGGAGCAGTGATAAGGATGAATGGATTTTGAATTTAAGAATGGCTTGGTGGCCTGACGTTAGTGTTTTAATATCCTACCACTGCAAAACATTTATTGTGATTTGGGTTCCATAAATTATGGTGCATACATTTGAATATTTCTATAGCATATATGTCCAGAAGATCGTGCAAAGCTACGGCTTCTCACCAGTGTGGCTCTTCTCATGTGGACTTTCAAGCTACAATTCTGTCTAAAAGATGTCCGCATATTTTGCAATATACGGCTTCTCAC